ACTATTCGAGCGCACGTTACACTCGCGATATTAGCATATAAATTATGTTATCGTGATTTATGCTTGCAGCCCATGTACTCACGCGGGACTATAGGGGGTTGCTGATTAAAATTCGAGATGACGGGCACGGGCGAACGCCTTGATGCCTGTCATCCGGTAATGGCTGATAAATAGATCAATTTCGCAATGACGAAACGACCTTCAGCAGCTAAACGTTTCGTATATTATGTTTTTTCGTCAATAATATGAGTATTGTAAGAGTCTTGCAAAAAGAATTTGCACTCATCTTTTTTCTGTCATGTAATACACATTAATTTCTTTATAATAACAGATAAAATATGATACATATAGAGCTTTGGTGAATAAATATTAAAGGCTTAATATAATTGCAGTAATACTAGCAGGGTTTTGATAGATCGATAAGCCCGTCGCAGTGTAATAATGCCGCAGTACGAATGGCGCACTGGCAATAAGTTTCAGGTATATTTCGTTCGACTCTGTTAACCGCTCACGTTCGTGCGCGGCGTCTCAAGTTAGGGCTTTAAAAGGATAACCATATAGGCGCGGTGGGAGAGAGTACGGCGAGTATATTGCATAATAATTAACGGGCAGCCAACGACCGTACAACACCCTATAGACCGTATTACCGCAAGTTCATTGCCGGCACGGAAATCGCAATACGTATGTTACGCCAAGCACTGCGTCACCGAACAACAATAAGCTCGTTCTATACTTTTGTATTTCTCTGCCATTTGTTTTTTCTTCTCGCTCGTTCATAAAATATGAATGTATGCTTGTTTTGTTTCTATCTCGGTGTCAAATAACGTCAAATAGTGCAATTATATAAAAAGAAAATTATCGTGTGCCAAGTTTCCATAGGAAAAAAAGCTTCGCTGAAGTATTTAAACATTTAGATAGAAACAGATTTTAAAATAAATTTGTTAGATTACTAAAGTAATTAAATAATAAGATGCTCATACAAAGCTGGTTGCTAGAACATACAAATTTTTTGGATTATTGTTGATTATGTTTGAATTTCCTACATAATTGTTATTTTAATTGTTCAAGAGAATTATTTTTAAATCTGTAGCTAATTAAATTTTTAGAAGTATTTCAACAAAATCGTTTTTCTCCATGCAGTTTTTCAAATGTAAGAAAATGTGTAAAGGAAATCACGATTTCCAATCTGATTTCCAATTTCATCTTATCTTTTCTCCATCGTTATCCTATGTTTCCCAAATGCTTCACCCTCATTCCCAGCAGTCATTCTACATTTCGCTACTCCCCTTGATATCTGCAGCTTATAATCTTTTGGGACAGAATGTATATAAGATCTCGAGAATAAATACAAGATAATCATAGAAACCTCGAGGGATGGCACTCGATTCATTCAATACGGAATCGTTTATATTTCCTGGCTTCCTATTTTATATAATTCCGACCTAACAGACGTCCGTTTACAATGCTCGTTGTTATTTTCTGCAGATTAAGTGAGAATACATAAAACGTTATTCCCGGTGATGGGAATTGTGTTACTTCGCGTAACGTACGTTATATACGTACGTTATATCGCAATACAGTAACGTTAATTTGCTTTTAGCGATTCCCTCTCAAAAGTACTCTTTTTCGCACAGTTAGTTGGCGTGCAGCTGGGCTGGATACAGGAGACATGGTAGCTGGTTCAGCGCTAATTATGGTTAACTCAGAACTGTCGCACTCTCACGGTTAGATCCTCTCATGAACAATAAGAGTGTCTACTTTATCAGCATATCCTGTTGCCCACTCCGGGTACATTCTGCGATGCAACGCGATATTTTTACATGCCTGTGCAACTTTCTTGCCAGTGTTTTAGAGACTGTATCGCGCGTTAAAAATTAATATTGTATATATCAGAATTAATACTCTTTAAATTTGAATCAGTGGATAATCACTGATATTAAGTATGTCCCTGAATCAGTGAATTAAATGTGAGATCCCTAGCTAATCTTTATTATGTGATCTAACTAAGTTCATTTTAGTGCTTAAATTCAGTGAATATGGTATTGGAAGATTGAAATTAACGTGCAAATATCAGTATTTATTATATATATCAGTATAATTATATATAATTATATAATATCAGTATAATTATATAATGCTTAAATTCTTCTTTTTTTAGTTGAATTTCACTGATGATCAGTGCAAAGTATGCCACTGAATAATTAAGACTATCCATTGACTCAGATTTAGAGAGTATAGAAATAAGTATATGTGTGCGCGCGCGCGCGCGCGTGTATGTGTGTGTGTGTGTGTGTGTGTGTGTGTGTGTGTGTACATACACGATTTATGTATACATATATAAGCGTTTATAAAAATTATAATTTTTATACATCGCTTATAGCCATAAATAACAGAGTAAATTGGATAGATTTGATTGTCGATGCAGTTAGTGCATGATTAAGCGTTGCAGGATGTTTTCGTAAAGCCTAAGTCAAGATTACGAAAGGGACGGCTAAGAGACGAACGAAATTTCCTTAAAATTGCGAAAGTGGCGCTTTTCTCCGTTTATCGTGTTCAACCGGGCGGAAAAAACTAAGCGCGTTAAGAGTAATTCGATTGTAGAAGGTGTCTCGATCGCGCGTTAGGAGAAAGAGATCGGTGGAAGGCACGATCTCGTGAAATCGATCGGTTGATCCGACACACCGAGAGGCAGCTCCCACGTGGAGAGCTCAGAGCTGCTGTACACCGAGTCTCGAGGAAGTATGGCTTTGACGTAACCGAAGTTTCACCTGCTGAAAATCGCCGTCTGCGCCTCGCAGGCAATTTAATAAACCGGCCCATGCACGCGAGCACTGTGCCTTTATTATAATATCATCCTCACCGGAGTGTCGAAAATCCGCGCCGATGTCGTAATCGCGATTACGAAAGTTGACGCTGCAACTTGTCCTCCGCTCCGGGAGATTGTAATAATACCTCGGGGATAAAAGAATCCGAATGCGATCGAAAGTGCGCTTCGTTTCGTGACGTTAAGTAACATCATTACGCGACGAAGTGATTCAGAGGCGTGTCCCCTCGAGAATATTTTGCGATTAAATGTGAAAATTATTGAGCGCTACAGATGTTATGAAATATCGAGTTAAAAAAAATGTTATCAACTGACAGGACGTTATTGCGATCGTAAAAATTTCGTGAAAGGTTTCGACTTATATATGTATGTGAAAGAACGGTGATCCGTGAACGATGGAACGTACATCAGTGACGAAATAGAGCTGACGGAGCGCAACCTTGGCAAGGGTGGATGTTTGCGCTGTGCTCCGTTGCACAGGCACAAAACGAGCTGGCCGTTCTAACGATGGATCAGATCGATCACGGATGTGTAATTTGCAGCGGCTACACGGAGATTCCGTCATTTAGTAGTGAGTAACCGTCGCTGTACACTCCGCTATACGGTGACTTCCAGATGGTGAAAGTCCGGAGATTCTACGTTGCCGTTAGATGCAAAATCGTCTTATACACGCGGTGCGCATTGTATTCTTTACTTGGAATTAAATTGGACTCCTTGTCTCGGCGATGTCCCATCTGATGTTGTTTTTCCGTTCGAGCGATTCGCAAAGTGATTCATCGACGCCACTGTGAAATTCTAATGATCGCATTCGCGTACGCTCCGATAATATTTATTATCTTATATTGTTCTATCTACCTTGGTACAATCTAGTGAATCGCAACACACAATTTAACCGGAGATATTTACTATATATAACAATAAGATAAGACTCTAAATATATATCTCGAAAATAATTATTTTACCGATCGATGAAATTGAATGAGTATAATTTTTTTTTAATCAGAATCAGTGGATAAACACTGACTTATAAATTCCAAGTCACTGGTAATCAGTGAATTTACAGTGAAATTCAATTAAAAAAATAATAAAAACGTGAAATCCCTAATCTAATTTTGCTTTAGTTTATAAATTTAATGTATATAGCATTGATGTACAAATATCGGTGTTCTTATTATGTAATGCTCTAATTTTCTTTCTTTTTTAATTGAATTTCACTGATTATCCAATGACATATTTGGGACTGATAATAATAATCAGTGATATCCACAGGTTTCTAGAGTAAAGTTGAATAGAAGTTGACATCATTTTCGCGATATAGCAGATTAATCTTCTTTCGTTATTGCTCATACAATAGGAAAGAGCTACGTGAAGCTGTTTCACAATTGCGGGAACTGATCGCACCGGTTCGTTCGAACGAGAACTGTTATAAATCACCCTAAGTTCGCGCCGATCGATTCCAGCACTCCGCACTAATTTCATGGTTTAGCCGAATGGAGAGGGAAAAGAAGACAGGACTAGAGAAAAATCTTGCGGGGCTGTTCGTTTATGAGCATTGTTCGGGGCTCTCGACCCTATCACGGTTCATTCTGTGACACGGAACTACGCGGGGGTTCTAGAAAACATCCATAGGGGTAGAACCATGTTTCACCGAGTTACGACGAGGGTGAAACGCCATACGGCTCCACGGAGAGATAAACACTTAGCGATCGAGCCATATATTTCTGAGGATAACTCGCTGGCTTCCATCGCGCGACGTGTAACGGCTTTTTTTATTAGTAATGCAAAATACGATGAATGTGCGGATGATAATCGTGTGATTCCACAAAGAATATCTTTCTATCGTAATACCTTTTTCATTCATGAACATGGAGAGAATTTGTAAGAAATATTTAAAAACAAAACAGTAGAAGAGTATTGTTAAATTAATTGATATTTAAAATTGAAAAATTTCAGAAAATTGAAAAATAATTATTCATTGTGCAACTTTGAATCATAATTTAGTATCTGTCATTTTGTCATTTTAGCATATCAAAATTTTGCTCGCTGCGAAGTGCGATAAAAGTGCGATTATTTCGCGCTGTATGTTGCAGAGTTTCTTGGAAGCGAATTCCAAATGCTGGTGGAACGCAGCCCTGGTGGATGCAACCCGGCAGCTGAGGTACAAGGGTCACGTGTCGCCGGGTGTGCTGATGGTTAGCGGACCGCCCTGCGCCCTCGAGGTTTTGAGGGCGGCATGGGCGCGAAATGTTCTACGACCACCCGCGGACCATTCGATCACCTGCCTCGGTACGTACCATCGAATTAACTCCCACATCGCCGTAGGGTCGATTCAACCTGACGGCCACGACCGCGTTCACTGTATTCACAATCGGATTAAATCAGTTTTATTTAAACTGAGATAATCGAGGAGAGCTCAATTAAAGATAAAGCATCTGTGAAAGTGAAAGTGAAAGCGTCGATATTTTAATAAGAACGAGTTCTTACGAGCGAGAGGATAATCCTGCGTGACCCTAGTGTATTTGAATTCCAATGCCAATACAATGCGCGAAAACAATGCACGATTGCAATCTCGAACGTTTCTTTCTATACCTTTTTTATTTTTCTATACCTTTATTTAACGCCTATCCTGATAATAAACTGCCGTGACTGGATATTGAAACACATTTTACTTTCCAGATAAGTTCGAATAACGAGGATTCAATTTATAATCATTTTGCAATGTATCATTAAAACATTTGTTAATACTCCACGTAGCCACATGATTTTAACATTCCCTAATGCTGAAGATATAATCTAATCAATTTTAATATCTATAGATATTAAAATTGATACTAAAATAAATACAAGTATATATTTATATTGTAGATTATCCAATTATAACTTTCACATATTGATATTTCAGTCTTAGATATAATATGCTGAGTACAAACCGACTCCTTGTAAATAAAGCGATCGAATCGCGCTAAAGGTATTCAACCTTTACGCGTTACAGTCCTTATCCGCTTATCTTCCGTAATCCGTGCCTGTCGTCAATGTTCTATATAGAAATAGTTTCGCACATATCTTATCGAGTAATCCATGCGCACCCGTATGTACTCCCGTTTCCTTACGTCGCGTCGCGCTTTTTCTCTCGAGTTCTCCATCCTTTTCGGTCGGTGTCCCCGATCTTTTTCCATCTCCGCCGTTTCTTTCCGATCTTATTGCTTCCTTTTATGCTCCGCGCGCTCGTATCTATATACACGCCTACGCCCAACTATCTCGCATACCTTATGCTAATGCACGTGCGTATCCGCGCAACGGCGTAGGAACTTGACTCGTTATTACGATGCGCCGCGAAAACGAAAAGAAAATTATTCGCGCGATAAAGAACGCGTTACGTGACTTTATCCCCTTGTGGGAAAGCTGTCTGCATAAACATCGAAAAGTTGCATCAGATCGAAAAGCGGTCGCTTTGGGATTTTTCTTCTTTATCCTTCGTATTTGCAAAGAATATAACAACAAGTAACATGTAATTGATATATATACATATTTACATTTAGCAAAAAAAACATAGCTGAAAACTTCACTGATTCAGCAAATCTACAGTCGTAATATGTAGATAGTCAATTTTTTTATGTTAAAGTAGCAAAGTTGATAGCTGAATAGCATTAGCGATTTGTTAAACCATCAAATCTTCTTACACCGAAAAAAATTTCTGATTGGAAAATCAATTTTATTGGAATTCTAATTGAGATAACTGGAATTTTGATTGATACTAAAATTCTTATTTTTATCAGAACAATTATATCAATCAGAATCCTAGTTATCTCAACTAGAATTCTAGTAAATTTAACCAGAAAATTCTGATTCGTCCAGTTTCCATCAGAATTACTATTTAATTTAACAAGATCCTTTTTCTGTATAGTGTATAGATGTTAAATTCACGCAGTAAGTATATTTTTTATTATAGGTTTGCTATAATACGACCCAATTTATTATTTTTTTCTGTGCTTATATAGTAGAAATAAAAGTAAATATTTATATAATAAGATAACAATAAATATTTGATATTATATAGTATTTTATGTTTACATAAATATAAATAATAAATTCCACATGACAAGAGATATTAAATCGAGATGAATCAGCGTATTAATTATTCACTCGGCGGGATATATTAATTTGCGACTTTTCGTAATTTGGATTAATTACGCCAAATTTAATATTAATTGTCGTACATCACAGCAAGCGAAGATTATAAAGTGTTTTTACGTTAAACAGCCACCTGTATGCGATGCTGCGCCGAACTTTCCGGTTTCGCGCACAGATATCTCCGTGTGGCAAACGAGCTTGGCTAACATTCCGCTATTTGCTTATTGTAGGGGTCGGGTACACCACTGCGCATAATGCGCGTCTTATATGCGCGTGCAGTAATGCGGATTTTGCGCCGCCACATAATTGGTCTGTCCACTTCGCGGACGGTCGAGCCAAGGACCGGCTTATATCCGACCTCTTTACTTTCCCGCATTCCATCTTTCTCGACAAGACGACGAGTAGCTCCGGAAATATTACGGCAGTTTTCGCATAATTTTCTAGTTAACGTCGACTTTACTGCAAAACGTGCTGATGGTCAGTACGCGTGTAGCGCACGCGGTAACTCATTAGTAAGAACCTTTTGTTCTTGTCGTTTTAATCTATCATGGTATTTCGCAACAACGTGCTGATTCATAAGAGTTTGTCTAGACAAACTTGCATAATTGTATAACTACATATATACTAACTACATATATACTAACTTCATAAATAAAAATTTTCTAATCATATTTCTATCATAAGAAAGCGGAAGGAACATAAAATTCGACTGTTTCTTTATGCATACGCTGAGAAAAATTTCTTGATTGAAAATAGGCGAAACAGAAGATTGTATTAATCTAAATATTAATTTGAAAATATTAAATTATATTAATTTGATTATATATTAATCAGAATTCCAATTAATTTCAATCAAACTTTTTTTCCCGTGTACGATTACGCAGCTGGTTTATAAGTTTAACCGGATAGAAAAAAGCATGCAAATATAAATGGATCGAGATTTTGCATTTTTCATTCGGAACTTACTAAATCTATGTACTTTCCAATATCATATATTTATGATTTTATTGTAAATGAAATAAATGTGAAAAGAACTGACTTAAAATAGTACAACCATTTCGAATCGCAAAGCTTTCCCTGCAGCAACTCGAGAGATCCAAGAAGATTCCGGATACCTTATGAAAAAAAAAAAAAAAGAAAGAAGAAAATGGCACAATGCGCTCCACATAGAAATGACTCGATTGGTACGCAAGTCGCACACGCCGGAATCCTGCATCCTCGTCGTCGATGGGCGCAGCGAAAGGGACGACGAGGTGTGCGCGCGCGAGCGCCTGTCTGGAATGCCAGACCTTCCCTCTCGTCTCCTCCACGCCCTAACTGAAATCCATACAGTCTACAATGCGCTTACGCGAGGTAATAAATCGGCCTCCTTCGGTGTGCGACAGTAGCGGCATTCCAGGGCGATCGATTAAGCCGTGGTACCCCATTGGAGACGCGTGACTTCGATAAGCGACACGTTTTCTACGCATAATTCTCATTTCGCTATTTATCTCGACGCAATCATGAAACTTGTACATGTACGGTGAATCGACCACTTCTATTTTGCCGAGTAATAATTGACCGAGCAGCTATATAAGCAACTATTTATTATTAATTAGACATACCTGGTTGTACAAGATATATTAAATGCAATTAATATTCTCATTATTATCATACGTTTTAATCAGAAGATATTCCTGTCAAGTGAATAAGATCCATGATGTTTGCGGTAAAGGTCTAATGGGAGGGTCTCAATAGCAGAAAAACCGACGGTACGTTATTACCTGTTTCAGACAGTTATTGCACATATAGTTGGTTGCAAGTCGTGAATGCTAATGCGGGCAAAGTCAACGCATCAAGAAGATAAGGAGTTCAGACTCGGACTCGCGTAACGACGAGGATCCACTAGGACGTGCTGGAACGTGTAATAGAATCGGGAAATTAATAGCGCCATATCGACATTCAGTTATTTCTATACTTTGTGTCTGTACTATAAATAGGTGCGGGCGCACACTGACGCAACACACAAACGATAGTGCGGTAACACGGAATGCGAGCTTGTACATACTCGTATGTGTCGAACCGATCGTGGCGATTGCGATTCGGTCTTTTCGTGCGAGACTAAGCGCCGTGCTTCATTCATTATAGGTACAGTGCAGTGCATTAATTCGTTGGGTTATATATTATAGTAATGGCTCGACTTATCGAAAATAAGAAAATGCAATACTAAAAAGTTGATAAAAAATTCTGAAAAAATTCTTAGAGTTCTATGAGAAGAAAATAAATGATTTTTGTCTCTTGCAGTTTTTCTGTAAAGTTGAATAGAATTTGAATAAAAAATAAACGTCGATAAGTCGAGCCGCTATTATGCGAATTAATGCACTGTAATATATTAACGTATTGACGGATTGTTGAACGTTGTTAAAAAGCGCGAACTCCATTTGCGTTTGTGCGGCGCAAACTGAAGAATATGCAGCCGCATTTTATGACGACGAACATCAATGGCAATCCGAAACGTCGTCGGAAATCACGATTGTACCATGCTTGCAAATGCACGAGCCCGCGAGAAATATCACTTTAACGATCCGTTAAGTTTCAATTATCGGGAAACCGTGCGAAATTGATTTGTGAGAGAAATCATAGTACGTATGATTCTGGGATCGCCACATAATTTTTCAGTTATAAGAATGAAATATAGATATAAATGTTCATTGATTGCGCGTGGACAGATTAAAATTAAAGAAAATATACACTGAAAAAAATGATCAACAGCAATATTTCAATTGAAAATAATTTGATTGATTTAATAACATCGTTAATGAAATAAATACGTCATACTTTTGTTGATAAAATTTTATTTGTTTCATTAATACTGTCATTAAATTAGCAAGATTATTTTTAATTAAAATAATTCTGTTGAGATAACATCATTTTTTTCAGTGTAATTTATCAATTAAATGATTAATACGTAAATAATTCATTCAATTCTAAGAATTATCTCTTATGCATGGCTCTGATATTTATTTTGTTTGTCGACTTTAAAGTCCGTAATACTCTACTCGAAAAAAATATTTTGCTCGGCTCACATAAATATGCACATGGCATGCCGATTGGAACTTGTTAAAGAGTGTAAAGCGCTTTGTTACAGTCCTGACAACAGGATTCCAAGGTTGGCC